CGAGAAGGTGGAGAAGTATCATCAGCAGGTAACTGTCGTTATCATTTAGGCGTGGGACCAGAATTGGTCCGACGCGGAATGGGCCGGCGATTCGAAAATTGCTGCGCCGTAGAGGGAGAGGCCGGAAGCATAGTCAAAGGAGAGCAGAGGTCAGATAAATCAAAGGAGTCAGTCGAGACCTCAGTAGCTGAAGCAGGTGAGGAAACAGCACCGGCAAGAGGTACAGAGGCATGAGGAGTGTCTGAAGAGTGGTCCAAAGACGAGGCGGGGTCAGAACGGGGTGCAGTATCAAGAAGGGGCCCGGGGTAATCAGGTTCATGGACTAGGGCTGCCATGGTTCGGTTACTTCTTTCTTTTTGTTTTTAAGAAAAAAAAAGAAAATAAAATAAAAATAAAAAAAGAATAAAAACAGGGGGGACTGGGGAGGGATAGTTCCTAGGAGGAATGAAAGGGCCAGAAATCTCCCTCCGCTCCCAAGAGGACCTCAGCACCGCAAGTAGCGTAGATGCAGCATGGAACCCATGCCATACCCTACTGATCATGCCAGTAAACTAGCAATCCGGGATAGCAACCTCACATCTGCCGAGCTACCTCGGTGGACAAAAGAGAGGGCGGCTGGATATCCACCACAAAGCATACCTCCTTCAGCCACCATCCCTGGAATCCGAAAGGTGGCTTCCAGAGATACACCCATCGCCCGAAAGACACCCAAAGCCACTCTCCGGGATACCGGAGAGGGATCGGGACATCCCCAGGCGATCCAGATTCCACTGCAAACTACGCCACTGCCAAGAACCTCAACGGAATGGGATGGACCCTGGTACCCTTTCCCCTACCTGGGAACTAGCGCACCTGTGGGAAAAATCCCAAAGGCCAAAAAGAGGAAGGGCAAAAGGGAGGGGTGGGGAGGGGGAGGAGGAAAGGGAAAAGGGGAGGATGGGATAGGGAAGGGGGGATTGGGGGGTAATTAGGTTCGGTCTGAGGAAGGAGACCGACAGGTCTAATTCCTCAGACCAAGAGCCTCTTCACCACGCCAAGGAGCCCCCCTTGAAGAGGGGGCGCTGCGCAGGTGAACGTATATATACGTTTGGACCTTTTAAGGGTTAACCATGAGTTCTAAGAAAGTTAATGAGAAGATATGGAGGACACTGTCTCTCTGGGCAGGTCCATGGGTCTGGATGTGAGTGGTGATGTGGAGGAGTTAGTGGAGGGCACAGGGAAAAGCTGCAGGAACTTGAAGAGGAGCACAAGACTAAGATGGATGCACTCTCTTAGGGCTTGGAAGAGCAGAGAGAGGAAGTCCCTACTTCATTAATCAAGGAAATCTTTGCCAAATGGATGGATGTTAAAAATTTTGCAGAGAGGTACCACCCGAACAAAGCTCAAGAAAGCTGTAATAGTATTGTCTGGAATGACCAGACAATGTCGCATTTCTGAAACATCCTGAGAAGGCAGATGCAAAGTTCTTTGGACAGATTTTTAGTAAAAGTCAAACTTGGTGAGCTTCAACCAGGTCCAAATAGGAAAAAGAGACAGAAAAGAGAAGGGGACTCTCCTTCAAAATACACATAACATTTCCTCCTCCTCCTTTCTCAGTACTATCCTAGTTGGTAATCGACTCTTCAGTAAAGTAAAGTGAGATTAAATTTGCATTTATTTCATCTAATTCTTTTGTATTCATATATGTATTTTAGTATTAAGCAGTGTTTAAATTATTTTATACAACCCCCATCAATGTATAATATGCCAATTACAATATAATTTTTTTCATGCAAATGGATTATTTATTTTCCCTATATTTCTTAAGGGAAAATTTGTTTGGTATAAGCCCAAGGTCCTGGAACAGATTAAGGACGTATACCAAGGTACCACTGTATCAGTATATAGCACTTCTCGTTAATTCTAAAAAAATATTAGCAAAAAGGAAAAGAAGTTGAATGCCTAATGGGATACCTGGGTTACCTTGAGCAAGGTTTGAAGACTTAATTGTTTGGCAGCCCTTGTTGTACTTTTCATCATCTGGTTTTGGATGCACTGTTCATATCAAAAGCATACATTATTTCACTCAAATTGCAAAATCTCAAAATGAACTTACAATGATTTTAACCCTTTGACTGTCGCAACCCCCAATCCTGAGGTGTCTCCTGGTGTCGCAAAATTTAAAAAAAAAAAAAATTTATTTTTTCTTATGAAATGATAGAGAATCTTTTCCCGATTGTAATGACACCAAAAAAAAACGAAATTTGATGGAAAACTGACGGAATTATGCTCTTGCAAAGTTAGCGACCTCAGCGCTGTTTACAAATCGGCGATTTCGCCCACTTTGAGCCCTATTTTCAGCTAATTCCATTATTCCAGTCGCCCAAAATCATAGCTATTTCTTTAGAACTCTATTTTTTCTATCGATTGAGTACAAGAAACTGCCCATTTACCGATTTCAACTACCTAATAATGTGGTCAGAAATTTGCAATTTGGCCAATTTCACGAAAAATAAAAAATATGACAATTTCAAAATATGGTCCAGAATGAACAATGCAGACATTCCTGGCTCTAAAATAACATTTTCTTTGCTCATCAGTCATGTCTCCAGGCCCCTCTAATATTACTCTTGCTTTCTATTTTGAATTTTTATTCAAACAAAAAATAGAAGACTTACTATTACGCAGACTACTGCAATACTGTAATAATTGTATAAATAACATCAACCCATTCATGACTGCATATTAGAATGGCTAGTTGGACATTTATTGGACAATGGCATCATTTGTTTACTTTTGAACATTGGCAAAAATCAAACATTTCCCCAACTTTGAGCTCCATTTCTAGGTTCTTTTTGTAGTAAAATCAATCAAAATCACCTCTATTTCTGTAATATGTTTTCCATTCTATCAAATGAGACCAAGAAAACGAGAATACAACAATAAATACTATACGAAAATAGACCACAAAGTCGGCATTTTAATTAACCCTTTGAGGGTCGACAGGCCCTCTCCGAAACTCGTTCTCAGGGTCGGCCAAATTTAAAAAAAAAAAATATTTTCTCTTATGAAAAGATAGAGAATCTTTTCCCGATCATAAAGACACCAAAAGTTTGAAATTTGATAGAAAACTTACGGAATTATGCTCTCGCAAAGTTAGCGGTCTCGGCGATGTTTACGCATTGGCGTTTTTGCCCACTTTGAGCCCCATTTTCGGCCAATTTCACTGTACTAGTCGACAAAAAACATGAATATTTCGCTAGAACTCCATTTTTTCTATCGAATGGGTGCAAGAAACCACCCATTTATGAAATTCAACTATCCAGTACAGTGGTCAGAATTTAGCAATTTTGCCAATTTCACACAAATTTCAAAAGATGCCAATTTCCGAATAGGGTCCAGAATAAACAAGAAAGACATTCCTGGCACTAAAATGACATTTCCTCTAGTCATTAGTCACGTCTCAAGGCCCCTCTTATATTCTTTTGCTTTCCACTTTGAATTTTTTTTTTCACAAAAAATATAAGATTTACTGTTATGCAGACTACTGCATTAGTGTAAAAAATGGTATAAATATTATTGGTGCACTTGTGAAAGAATATTAGACTCACCAGTTGACGTGTATTGCACGCTTGGCACGATTTGTTTACTTTTGAAGTTTGGTAAAAATCGAACATTTCTGCTACTTTGAGCTCAATTTCAAGGCACCTTTCATTGTAAAACCAGTCAAAATCATCTCAATTTCTGTAATATGTCTTCCATTCTATAAAATGAGACCAAGAAAACTAGAATACAACAATAAATACCATACGAAAATACACTGCAAAGTCGCTGATTTATTAAAAAAAAATGGTCAAAGTTTTTTTTTTCTCATTATGCACTGTGTGCTGCAGGATTTTTTTTAGACTGTGCACACTGACCACATAGACCCATTCTTTCATATGAAGGCCTACCAGCTTTCTCCCACTAGATTTGAGGCCGCTAGAATTTATGAGTACTAGTACGTCAAAAACCCCTACGCGTAAGACGTACTAGTACGACCAAAACCCTCAAAGGGTTAAAAAAAACGGTCGGAGTTTTTTTTCTCATTATGCACTGCGTGCTCCAGGATTTTTTTTATATGGTGCACACTGACCACAAAGACCCATTCTCTCACATGTGGGCCTACCAGCTTTCTTCTGCTTGATTTGAAGCCGCTAGAATTTATGAGTATATATACGTCAAACACGGTACCTCGTAAGACGTATATATACGGCCGCGACAGTCAAAGGGTTAAATTAAATAAGTCAATACATATTAAAAAATGTCCTTAGATTTCACAAACGTGTGCATGCACATGCATACACTCTTCTATTCATACACAACATACATCTAAGTATATATACACATGCATGCACACATTGTAAGTCCATTACAATAATTTTACCCTTGGTTTCAAGGGTATAATCCTTCAATGATGTGATTAAATATTCACTCAGTAGTAATACTGAAGTACATCTTGATGTTTGTCATAACAAACCAACTTTGTCACGTAAGAGATGCTGGTTCTGCAGCAGATGAACACAGGGATAAAGCATAGCACACCAGACATCTATGATGATCTATGTCAAACCTGTGATAATTAACTAATGCAATTTAAATACAGTAATTCAAAATTGGCCCTGGGCAATTTCAAAACGCTACTTCACAAAAACGACCAAGTGATTTCATAAACAGTTCAGAAATTCTAACTTGAGAAAATTACCTACTCTTCTAGCTTTACAGCTGGAGGAACAATTTAATGTACAAGCATCAAAATTGTTGAATAAGCATGTGGAAAAAAATGACTTAAAAATCCTTCCCCCTTTTTGTTTTTTGTGCCTGTATATTTAAGCTCGTAAATAATGGCTCAACTGGGCAGATAACAATCATGTCAAACTAATTTGCAATTTTTCATGCATTTTCCCCCACCCTTTAACAAAATAAAAAATTTATCAATGACCCACATTACTGACAAAAAGTTGGAAGATATAAAGAGTACACCATTTGAAAAAATTATATTCCAAATAATTGTACCACAACCCTTCAGAAGCTTTACATTACACAAGCCTTACAAACCTTCAGACCTTAGATTAAAGCATCACAAGGTTTAAAACTATATGTTATATTACCTGGATGAAACAACTGTTATAACTAGAATGAATAAGCATGAAAAATAAGGCATACAGTCTGGATGATGGTCTAATAATACCACCACAACTTATTACTTTTTATAACTATGAGTGTAATATAAATGATTTTCTAATAACAAGGTTTGTTTAGAAATTAATATTTTATTCCTCTAAATATTTTACTGTACATGTCTTAAGTATTCATCTTAATCTTGCCATCTACCAAGGTTTTGGCAACAATCTAATGATGATTGCACCACCTACCACTTTTGTCTTTCATGTCCATTACAGGACTTGCAACATCAGCCTGAAAGGCAACTGCTCAACAGCTATGGTGACTGGCAGTTGTGTCCCTTCATCTACCAAGTACACGAGAGCAAGTATGTCTTGGAGTACCCGAGAGAAAATAAAATTTAAAAAATAAAAACAATTAAAACAAGAAAATAAGGACTGTCTTTAAGGTTTTGTGAGTGAATAAATGCTACATATGAAACTAGGAAATAAAAGTATAAATGAAAAGCGCGGAAATATGATGGAGGTAAACTAGTCGTGATGCTTCTCATGTGGTAGTGGGCCGCTGCACAATATCTTGTTCCAAGGTGAAGCTGTAGTAGTACTAAAAAAAAAAAAAAAAAATAAATGAATAAAAAAAAATAAGAGCGAGCATTAAAGTTCAATACAAATGACATTTTAAAAATCAGTTTCTAAATTTTAAAAGAATAATTTAGGCTCCTCAATGTGAGAATAATGAGGTCAATTACACAGAAGTATCAGTCAGTAAAGATTTTTAATAGAACAGACCAGAGTAATGGTCTGTTCTATTACAAGGTACAGTAAAAAATTTATCTACTTTTTAATATTTAGGTGGTGGAAGAAATCTTAAGAAAATCAGCTACTGTTCATGTGATAATGCTAAAGGTGACCCTTGGAAGGGCTGGATCACAGATGTTTGAGAAGACAGAGGATTCCTGGAAGACACAGGCACAATGAAGAACACGGGTATCAAAGAAAATACAGTGGACCCCCGGTTAACGATATTTTTTCACTCCAGAAGTATGTTCAGGTGCCAGTACTGACTGAATTTGTTCCCATAAGGAATATTGTGAAGTAGATTAGTCCATTTCAGACCCCCAAACATACACGTACAAACGCACTTACATAATTACACTTACATAATTGGTCGCATTCGGAGGTAATCGTTATGCGGGGGTCCACTGTACAGTATATGATAGCAGTTTGTCCAAACAAAGGCTATGTAGCAGAAAAATGAGATTGCACTGTAATCTGTTCTTAGATTCGAATGCTTGTGATAGAAGTATTGTGACCCCACAAGATGCAAGTACTGTGACCCAGCCCTTCAAGGAAGTGATCCATTAAGTGAGCTACTCTCTCCTTTGGATGAAATCAGACTCATCTTTCCTTCCCAGGTACCGTGACACCTTCGTATTTAGTATTTCTGATGAATATAATAGTAACAGTTTAAGCACTATAGGGACAAATTTATGGCAAGAGATGTGATGCCATGAAAACAAATTCCCTTCAAGGTGGGGGGGGGGGGGGTGACAGTGGCAGCACGCCCCCACAAAAAAAATATCAGGCCAAGTGTCTATCAACAAGTGCCTTTGACAACTAGTACTCCCCCTTCCCACACACACACACACACACACACACACACACACACATTGTCATCCAGCTGAATACAAAATTAGGCAGAGGATTAATCAGATGAAATGAGGGAGAAGGTTAATCAGATGAGGCACAGCAGAAAATCAATAAGAATAACCCTTAAACTGTCCAAACATGGATCTATGTTCACTTGCATAGCACTCCATTTAAAAAAAAAAAAAAAAAAAATTAAATGAAGAGCACATTTTTCTAAATGTTATAGGATAATAAAAAATTTAGGGTCGGTACTTACCAAGATGTAAGGCCACGAAGTTGGCGCTGGATGCTCGCCTGACAGCAACATCGAGTCCTGCCGCTTGCAGAAGTGTTGCCGATACACCTTTTTTTCTAGTTTTTATTTTAATTTATATAATTTTCATGTTCTGATAATTACAATTTATAATAGTTCTTGTGATTTCATAGCCAATCTTTGTTCTGACACTAATATTGGGTACTGAAATAGTACTCAAATAGTCAATCACACTGACAGGTGAACATTTTCACACACCTTGGTCATTTACTATTGTCTAGAAATATATACAAAGGTTATGAGGATAAAAAGATTAGGTGATGAAAGATTGGATATCAGATTGGAGGGAGAGAGTATGGAGGAGGTGAATGTATTCAGATATTTGGGAGTGGACATGTCAGCGGATGGGTCTATGAAAGATGAGGTGAATCATAGAAATGATGAGGGGAAAAGTGTGAGTGGTGCACTTAGGAGTCTGTGGAAAGAAAGAACTTTGTCCTTGGAGGCAAAGAGGGGAATGTATGAGAGTATAGTTTTACCAACGCTCTTATATGGGTGTGAAGCATGGGTGATGAATGTTGCAGCGAGGAGAAGGCTGGAGGCAGTGGAGATGTCATGTCTGAGGACAATGTGTGGTGTGAATATAATGCAGAAAATTCGTAGTTTGGAAGTTAGGAGGAGGTGCGGGATTACCAAAACTGTTGTCCAGAGGGCTGAGGAAGGGTTGTTGAGGTGGTTCGGACATGTAGAGAGAATGGAGCGAAACAGAGTGACTTCAAGAGTGTATCAGTCTGTAGTGGAAGGAAGGCGGGGTAGGGGTCGGCCTAGGAAAGGTTGGAGGGAGGGGGTAAAGGAGGTTTTGTGTGAGAGGGGCTTGGACTTCCAGCAGGCATGCGTGAGCGTCTTTGATAGGAGTGAATGGAGACAAATGGTTTTTAATACTTGACGTGCTGTTGGAGTGTGAGCAAAGTAACATTTATGAAGGGGTTCAGGGAAACCGGCAGGCCGGACTTGAGTCCTGGAGATGGGAAGTACAGTGCCTGCACTCTGAAGGAGGGGTGTTAATGTTGCAATTCAAAAACTGTAGTGTAAAGCACCCTTCTGGCAAGACAGTGATGGAGTGAATGATGGTGAAAGTTTTTCTTTTTCGGGCCACCCTGCCTTGGTTGGAATCGGCCAGTGTGATAAAAAAAAAAAAAAATATATGATACTTAGGTTGGCTTCAGGATGTTCGTGTTTGTAGAGGCAACGGATATATCAGATGATTATATAGTTGTACCTACAGTTAGAGTAAGAGGTAGATGGGTTGAAATAAAAGTGGAAACAAGTAAGAGAGGTGAAAGTGTATAAACTAAGGGAGGAGGAAGTTAGGGTAAGATATAAGCAGCTATTGGCAGAAAGGTGGGCTGGTGCAAGTATGAGTAGTGGGGGGGGGGGGGTTGAAGAGGGTTGGAATAGTTTGAAAAATGCAGTATTAGAATGTGGGGCAGAAGTTTGTGGTTATAGGAGGGTGGGTGCAGGAGGAAAGAGGAGTGATTGGTGGAATGATGAAGAAAAGGGTATGATAAAAGAGAAAAAGGTAGCTTATGAGAGGTTTTTACAAAGCAGAAGTGTTATAAGAAAAGCAGAGTATATGGAGAGTAAAAGAAAGGTGAAGAGAGTGGTGAGAGTGTGAAAGGAGAGCAGATGATAGAGTAGGAGACGTACTGTCAAGAAATTTTGATGAAAACAAGAAAAAATTTTGGAGTGAGATAAATGAGTTAAGAAAGCCCAGGGAACAAATGGATTTGTCAGTTAAAAACAGTAAGGAAGTTAGTAGATGGGGAGCTGGAGGTATTGGGTAGAAGGCAGGAATATTTTGAGGAACTTTTAACCCCTTGACTGTTGCGGTCATATATATACGTCATGGGAGATACCGTGTTTGACGTATCTATATGCATAAATTCTAGGGGCTTCAAATCAAGCGGGAGAGGGCTGGTAGGCCTACATGAAAGAGAATGGGTCTCAATGGTGGGTGTGAACCCTGTGAAAAAAATCTGGGACTCAGCGGTGCATTGTGAGAACGCCATCTTGGTAGTCCATTATCACCATGCCTCGTGGTAAGAAGTTCCTCACTCCTCAGCGGATTGGAGGTCTTTTGTTCCCAAGTGATAGCTCTAACAGCGATGAAAGTGTCAGTGAAAGTGAATTCCCTGGTTTTGAAGCGGGTGTGACCGAAGAAAGTGCCCAGGATAACATAATTAGTGATGAAAACCCAGATGACCCACAACCTTCCACCTCTGGTGCTGGGCCGGCTTGTTCATATTCACCTGTACAAGGACGAAAGAGGAAACTATTTGCCCGTGTACAAGACTCAGATGTGAGCAGTGTAAGTGATAGTGATTTCAAGGTTATTGAAAGCAGTTCTAGTTCTGACAGTGAGGGTGAACATTCCCCAGTGAAGCGGCAGTACATACGACGTCGCATGCGGTCTGGCAGTGTGCCATATGCTCTTCCAAGAGGAAGGAGTACATCTCGGAGCACATCCCATGGCCCTACATCATGACCTGATAGTGAAGATGACGATATTGTTACGATGGGTATCAATGATGCAAGTGAGGCAGCAGGCGGTGGTGGTGATAGTGATGGTGGCACGAGTCATGTGACACCAGCAGCGGGCTACGCTGCTGACTGCACAACTACAACTAGCCTCACCCGACCCCACACTCCCACAACAACCACAACCACGTTACAATATCCAGAACCCACCAGCTGACCGCATCTGGGATTGGCAGCAAGGTGACGAGTTTGTTCCCAGTCCCCATGACTTTGATGAAACACAAAGTGGAATACGGCCATCATGTACACTTGGGAACAATGCCACTGAACTGGAATGCTTTCAGTTGTTCTTCGATGAACCCCTGATGGACATTATTGACAGGGAAAGCAATACATACTTTGAGTACACCATGGCAAACACTATTCTGTCACCAAGATCACGCCTACACCAGTGGAAGGACAACTGCGGTAGAGATGTATCTGTTCTTTGCCACAATAATGCTTATGCCACATGTGTATAAGCACAGTGTCAACACATACTGGACAACAGACTGCCTGATTTCAACCCCTGCTTTCAGTGACATTATACCAGTGAATAGATTTGTGTTACTGTTACATATGTTACACTTTTCAGACAAAACATTATTATTATAATCAAAAAGAAGCGCTAAGCCACAAGGACTATACAGCGCTGCAGGGCAGGAAGGAAGCGAGGGCATCAGGTGGCAAAAGGGAGATGGATGAGCAACAGGTTACGGATAACAGCGGGGCAGTGGATGGTGAAAGGGTAAAGGGCAGCAAGAGACTGAACCAGAAAGGGCTGAGGGGAGTGCGAAAAGTATCATCAGAGTTTGTGGAGTAAATCAGTCGTTGAAGAAGTCAATGAGAG